CCCCCCCCCCCCCCCACCCGTACCACGGCTTGAACGTGAACAGGAGCAGGTCCTGGCTGAGCTACGGATCCAGCTCCTTGCCAGCGACGAGAGGGAGTGAGACAAGGTGGCAAAAGCACCGACTTAAATACATCCTCGGTGCTGTGCAGCACTTCCCAAGCCAAATGGGAAGCTAGGACTTGCCAGAGGAACGACAGGCAGCCAACTGCAACGTGTGACAGCGTGCCACGCTCATGGCCCCAGCTGTTTGCAAAAGCAACAGCCCCGTCTAGCACAACACCCTCGCCAGCTGCAGCAGCCCATCCGGCTGAACCGCGGCACGGCGCCCATTGCCCGCTGGACCCAACAGTAAGATGGACTCCGGCCACAACCGGCTGGCGAAACACTGGCAGGGGCAAGCACGCTGCTAAAATCACATTGGCCTCGGCAGCACGGCACTGTCTGCGGAGCCTCCCCTTGGATATTTTAAGCTTCAGAAGCACAAAAACAATTCAAGTGTCTCGGTTTCCTATACAATTAGTGACACGGGGATGAAAGAGAGAGTAGTTTCCTCCTCCAGATCTTCAAGCAACGCAGCTCTGAGAGCACGTAGATGCGTTTCAGCCTACAGGGACCAAACACGTAAGAGTCGCAGGGCAGATGCTGCCTTGGTGCAACGGGGAGCAGAGGCAAATTAAGCCCGTAGCCTTCACTCCCCACTCACGTGGGTCCAGTTCTGTCCCTCAGATCTGCACTCCCAACGGACGTGCCTGCGCATAAGCCAAGCTGTAGGCTTTAAGTCCTGCTCAGCTGTGGCAGAGACCCCCTCAGCCCCCACCTGGACCCCAGAGTAGATGCCCTCCCCGTCTCTCCCCTCCCGGCGCACAGTTCATGCCTTCCAGAAGATCAACAGATGGAGAGAGGGAGGATGAAGAGGAGAGAGCTCTCCCATCCATTACAGGCTGTACATGCTCCGAGCCTACACACACTCTGCCTAAGGCTACTGGTATTTTCAGGGTCTGTTCCTATTGGGAAACTTCACCAGAGATTTTCCTCCGAACAGATTGGACTCTTGTTTGTGCTGTCTGCTCAAACCAAGGTGGGGTTGTTCCAGGCAGCTAGCACAGCAACGGAAACCATCCCTGCACCCCCTCGGCAGCTGTAAATCAAACGCTGCTCATGGCAAGCACGATGCAGAGGGTAAATGATCCTTTCCACAAACTTTGGCTGAAGAAATACTCATGCAAATCGCACGCAGGTGCATGTTCAGTTATGCTCCGTCGCGTTCTCTCGTTAGGGTCGGTCCTCGGACAAGGAGCAAAGGCCAAATCAAACCAGCGTGGGGGTGGGGGGCTTCACGTTTCTGTTGAAGGCGGCAGCGGAAGGCACTGCCTGCGAGCTCTTCCCACGCAGCAGCTATGCTCCCAGAGGTGAAGCCCAGCTAGTGGAAGAGTAAAGGAAGGCCTTATTTTTTCCAAACAGAGCTGTTTTCCTGTTACCCGAGATCGTGGACAAGAACAGCTGTGCTAGCAAATTAGGTCCGTTTTCAAAGCAAATAGTGCGCACGCTGCCAAAGCTCAAATTTAATATTTCTTTCATGTAATAATTATGCACCCGTTGCCATGGCTGCTGGGCATGTTTATATCTAAAGCAAAGTATCAGCCAGCTTTGCAAGCTTTAGACAGCCGTCGTCCCCCCCACCAAGCGTCACCCCCACCTGCCAGATGGAAAACACTTCCAGAGTCTAGCAGAGAGTCCAGCAAATGAGTTGAGAAGAGGAGCCTGGTGCCAACATACTGACTGTGGAGCTATTGCCATGGCAGGAAGCTGTAGCATGAGGAAGCTGTGGTGGCCCCATCCTGAATGATGCACGGGGGGCTGAGCCATGCACCTCTGCAGCTCAAAGCTTGCTCCATCTATCTGGGGTTGCTACATGCCCTTATTCCTGAAGACGTAAGGGCGACTGTAAGACCCAGCGAATTAGGCTTGCACCAAGCAATGGCCGACAGGACCGGTTGTGCTGGCATCGCATGTGGCGGCGATACATCAGGAAAGGCCGTCCGATTTAGCAAATGCATGGCAAAGACCTACACGAGAAATGCAAGTGCCTACTAGCTGAGAGGGATTTGGGACTCTTTCCTTCCTATCGATTGCGCCTCGTTTCAAAGCTTGCTTGCTTGGCGGCATCGTACGGTGATCAGCCACCAGCTAACCCAAGCTTTGCATAGGTCACCGAGCACAGCAAATAATTCACAGCAAGTACTTGAGAGGCTGCATTCATTAAGCTGTGCTTGAAAAAAGGCTCGCGAGCGGGTCCCAAAGTCTGCATGCATTTGTTGGGCAAATTATAGAGGCTTTTTTCGGCCCCCAGTGTTTACGCTTTCAGATAGACCTGCAATAAAGCGATTGATTGTCAAAACTTCAGGCCATGTTATTAGTTGGGACTGGTTCATCAACACCATTCCCATGGGGATGGCTCAGCTGCAGAAAACGGATGTTGCAAAGAGCTTTCAGTCTCTTTCTGGGTTTCGTTGGTCTGCCCTGAAGTACTACCCCCAGGACCCCCAGACTATTGCAAGCGGTACCAGTGCAGCATGCAGGTAGCAAGCTTAAGCTCTCTCTTAATAGATCGCATTTACCCCAAGAACCTTGTCTGCCAGCTTTCTCTGAACGTATTCTCCCAAGCAACTGAGTCACCCGTCCTGGGGAGAACCAGGGTTGCTGTCAGATCCTTATCGGGGTTATTTAGCGGCCTGTGTTGCAAGAGTGCTTTATAACTGTATATATGTAATTATCAGCCAGATAAGATGCAGCTCTTCCCACCAGCCTGGCGAGAGGTTTGAGGCACGTTCTTCCCATGCTGACCACGCAGTATCTCTTCCGGGGAGACTACGCCAGATCACAGCTGAACATTTTTTTGCTTTTTCACCATGAGCGAATGTAAAGCTCGCTCTGGCGTTCACAGAAAACAAATGCAGCTGCAGCAAGTTCGTCTTAAAAGCTGGATGAAGACGCTGGCGCTTGGCAGGGCTCGCTCAGCTCTCCCAACAGAGGCAGGCCTCAGCTCGGCGCCTGAATGAAGCGCTCTGTTTGCAAGGATGGTGTACGGCTGAGATGCATGTTCCCTCTCACTGCTCATAGATGCTCCAGGCTTTCTCCTGAGGAGTTTCCTGCCCTCTCCATCACGCCAGGCCTGTGCTCCAGCGCGGGAGCGGTGCTATGAATGGGAGATGTCAAGCACAGAATAGCAATTCATCTCAGAAGAGCCCAAAGCTTCTGGCCTCTCCCCACTTGCAGGGGATATAATGGAGACTAGACTGAGCCTGCACAGGCTCAGATGTCACCGAACGGCTGCTGCAAGCAGGCTTCCACCTTGCAAAGTTCATCTTCTGGGGACAGATCCATGTCTCAGTATCACAAAGTGCTGACGTTGCATCCGGCCCGGACTATTTTGGGGAAACTCCAGTGCCCTGAAGCTTTCGATCACATCCAAACCAGGAGCAGTGACACAAGGCACAGGCAAAGGCAGCCGGTTCAACTGAGCATGCATCGTGCACAGAGAATTTTGCATGTGGAGCTCGCTCAAAACCACAGGGGCCAGGTCATCAATAAGAGGCAAATTTATGCATAATGGTTAAAAATTTATAACAGGGTTTTAAAAATCCCCAATTTCCAGGCATTGACAAGGGTCAGTGAGAAATTTCAGGCGTGGGTGTCCTGCACCTGCCTCTGAAGCAGCTTAAAGACCGCTGTAGATCCGGGCCCAGGAGCTCACGCCTTCAAACAGATCCTAACACCATTTGCTACGGTGCCACCTGACAGCTTCGCTAAGGCTACAGGGCGCGGCGGCCGGCTGGCACGAAAGGTGCCATCTGTGTCAGCAGGAGCCGTGCAGCGAGACCCCACCTCCCCCCCCCAGCCCCTGCCAGTACCCCAAGCAATAGCGCGGATTGACATCGCATCCAATTCTGTCTGGAGAGCAGGATGGGCATGACAAGGCTGACAAGCGTTGCCAAGATGAATACATCAAGTATCTGTGTGTGTAGGCTGCAGAATCGCTCTGTCTGTGCTGCATCGGCTGCTCCAGGGCCTGGAACAGCTCTCTAGGAAGCGTGCCAAGGTGGCCTGAGCTTGCCTGCCTCCCTGCGCCTAGGTATTGCCACGTGCCATTGACTTGAGGTCACCCAGGGCTTGGGCACAGCTGGGCACGGCAGGGCGGGCTGAGCCTGAAGCTGCCATCCTATTGCTGCTTTTGCAAGTGTAAAGCAATCCTGCAGGCCACTTGCAGAGACCTCATCAAAAAGTTAGTCTCACTGTTGACCAGTGCATGTACCTATGTGTACTGCAACCTTGTTCAACTATATGTGGGCATGTGAGGCAGAAAACCATGGGCAAAGTGTTCACTCGCCTTAGCTAACACAACACGCCCAGCTTCCTTGGTGTGCTTCCTGGGGAACTGTCCTAGCCCGCTGGCAACAGCTTCTGCTCACCTGGGAGAGACCGAACATACCTTTCCCTTAATAGAGGCTCGCTGGGTAGTGCAAGCCAGGCCTGAGAGCCTAGGATCCAGCACTTGAAGTCAATAGAAGCTAAAGTTAAATGTCTCTGTTAAGCTCCAGTAGCTTGGCTCAGGTCTGTATATAATTTTTAAAGAACCTCTTCTCACTTTTCTGCTAGGGCGGGGATAATACAACCTGCCTCACCGGGCTGCTGTGAGGATAAGGAGGGTGAAGTTGGCATGGTGCTTTGTAATGGTGTGGGACGAAGTGCACACACCTGTTCAGTAAGCCTGGCTCTGCAGCTTGGTCTACTAGTATCGGCTCCCGTGGTCTGGCCCTGCTGTAAAGTCAAGGGTCCTGCGCAGGCCCCGATGTCCACGCTAGCATGGAATCGGATGTCCCCGTAAGTTCCTGTTGTGCTGCACTTCTGCAGAGGCTGGATCAGGCTCAGTGGACTGGTGATATTAGAGGCCAGTGCATGATAGTCTGTGCTTTCCAACTTACAGTTTAAGAGCAGAGAAGATGGAAGCAAACTATAGACTCGTTAGCATGGGAATGCCATTGGCAATAAGTGAGAAGAGAATCAGGCCATGTCTGCCTATGTCAGTTGAGAGCAACCACAGCTGTTATATGGATTTAACAAAGATTAGAAACGTTCACCTGATGCAAACAGTCCCTGTTCGAGGTTCCTCTGCTGTGGGGTCCTGACCAGAGAGTTGGGCATAGCCCAGTTGCTTTCCATCAGGACGAACCGTGCATGCCTTTTCCAGCTTACCAGTCCCCTCTGCAAGCTGCAGCACAGCCAGGGACATGATGGTGAGAGGGTTCAGGGGGTTGCAGTAATGCTAGGGCATGCTTCAGTCCCCTGGGTAGTGAGGAGATCTGGGCGTTGATGGGCTGGGAGCTCTTGCATGTTTCTCTGGAGGTAAATCCTACAGCAGCGTTGTGGGAACAACCTGGCACCAGGCACGGGGGCATCTGCAGACAAGAGGCAAGAACTGTGTTATGAAGTTCATTTCTATTGCAGGTGTCGGGGGCCAGGAGTACCAGGTGCTGCAGTCCCAGGGCCCCGTGTCGGTGTCGGCGGGGGAGACGCTCGAGTTGAACTGCACCGTGCCTCTGCGTGGACCAGTAGGGCCAGTGAAGTGGTTCATGGGCTCGGGCAGCGGCCGCCTGCTCGTCTATGCAGATACAGGGTCATTGCCCCGGGTCACAAGGGCTGTGCCCAGCTCTACCTCAGACTACTCCATAAACATCAGTGACGTCCGCCCCGAGGATGCCGGCACCTATTACTGCGTGAAGTTCACGAAAGGATCGCCTGATGAGGAGTACCGATCCGGAGCAGGCACAGCGGTGTCCGTGAGCGGTGAGTGCATCCCCCGCCGCCCATCCCTGCCTGCGAGGGCCCAGACCAGGCAGGACCAGCCCACCTTGTTGCCCATGCACCAGCTGGGATCCAGGGGACTCACAGCCAGGAGTCAAGAGGAGCCCTCTCTGTTCATGGGGGCAGGGCGTGAGGGTGGTCGGGATCAGGGCACAGAAAACTAAGTCTTTAACCATGCCCTTGAAACCATCTCTCCAGACTATGCTGGAGGTACCATGGAAGGGGAAGGGCAAGGGAAGTCATATAACTAAAGGTGGGTGAGCCTGGCATCAGCCCCACGCACGACTTCAAAGGGTACCACGATAGAGGGAGTCTTTGCTGGGGCAGCAGCAGCCAGGGTCTCAGTCTCTGGAGCTGCGCTGCTCGCCCTGCCTGCCCCGTGCCAGGGGCACCGTGGAGCTGATGAGCAGCGAGGGCCCACGATGCTGCAGCACCCACGTGAACTCGGATCCTGGTGCGCAGAACTGCGCTGCAGACAGCGCCGCGCCGACTCCTGCCCATCCCCGCAGCCTTTTTCATTCTCCTTCCTACAGCTCCTGCTGCCAGAGCCCCGGGCTGCGATACACCAGTGCAAGGAGCGGTAGCTTGTAAGGCCAGCTCTAACTCAAGCCCTAACTGCTGCAGGGGCCTCGAGACACCATAAGTTAGGGACGGGGTCGAAAGACTCCTTGCTCCTCCAGGCTGTCAAGAGCAGAGACCTGACTAATGAACATTGTTCCCTGCAGCCAGCCCGTCTGCCCCATCCGTGTCCGGCCCCGCCAGCAGGGTCGAGCGGGGCAGCCCTGTGAACTTCACCTGCACGTCCGAAGGGTTCTCCCCCAGGGACATCACCGTGACCTGGCTCTGGGACGGGGCCAAGCTCGCAGCCCAACCACCCCAGATCCTCCCTGAGCATGCGAGCGTCTCCTACCGCATGTCCAGCACCGTGGCGAGGACGCTGACGGTCCGGGACATCCACTCCCAGCTCACCTGCCAGATCGAGCACAGCACCATGTCGGCTCCGCTGCGGGGGACGTACAACCTCAGCCAGGCCCTGCGAGGTGAGGAGCCAGCGGGGCTGAACCGGGCGCGCCCATCGCTGGGCAGGGTGGAGACGGGTGCTGTGCCCATGGGAGCTGATGGGTAGGGCGCCAGCCCCATTTTAAACCACGCAGTGAGAGCGAGGGTTTGTGGGGTTTTATCCCCAGGGGGAGGGCGAGTCTGCACCATCCTGCACCTCGTTACCTGCACTCACTTCAAAATGTTCCCTGTCCCCAGGGTCTCTGTGGGGCAGGGCTGTGGTGTGCAAAGGGGTCTGGTGCATAAATTTGCACCCCCGAGACACACCAGGGGCCCAGCACGAGAGGCTGCACCTGCTGCAGAGCTGGAGACAAGTCTCAGCTCTGGGACGTAGCTCCAGCACACACACACACCCCTACAACCCTCCTGCAGTTGTGCAGGAAGAGCTCCCCTTTACGGGCTGTTTTGTTCCAGTCTCCCCCAGGCCCAGGCTGGCCACCAACTACTCTGGTGCCGTCCCCTTGAACGAGATGGTGGTGTTCACTTGCACCCTGGTGGGGTTTTACCCCAATGCGGCGAGGCTCACCTGGATGGAGAATGGGAATGAGACCGAGCCAGAGAAATCCCCGTCCCCGACGGAGAACCCGGACGGGACCTTCTCGCTGACGAGGACGCTGGCGGTGCGGGCGACCGAGCAGAGGAACCAGTCCTCGTTCACCTGCCGGGCCGTGCACGACTCCCAGCCCCCCACCAGCGTCACCCGCGTCCTGACAGTCGCCGCGACGAGCAACAAGGTGGAGGGGGAGCAGCAGGCAGGTGAGTGCCCCGGCACAGGGGACAAAGCTGCATGAGGAAGACGGATGCAGAGCCAGGCCGTGTCCAGCTGCAGGGAGCCTGTAACGGTGCAGGGATGGGGCGGGGGGCCTGAGGCAGCACCTCTTCTCGGAGCTGGGCTCTGTGCACCCCCTCCATGACCCTGCACAGGGCCCAGCCCCGCTCATCGCACACGTGCCCACCAGGCCAGTGTCTGCTGTCCAGCCCTGGGCTCTGGGTTGGGTATGTCCTGGAGAAGGGCCTCATCGGAGCTTTCCTCTTCTTCCTCTTCGTGCGCAGGAAGGAGCCGTAAGGTAACGGGGCTTTCCCGTGTCCGGAAAGGGGGCTGAGTGGGGATACGGGCTGGTGCAGGCAGGGTTGGGGGTGCTCGGGGAGAC